CAAATGCGTCTGAGCACAATATCCACTAGTGCTCAGTTGGATGGAGTTAGTCACTCTGTCCTCTGGGTGTTAGCTGACGGCCTGCTGCATTGGGCTCTGAGGTTGGTGTAACCCACCACGGGGAGCCCTTTATTTTCCCCAGGTTTAAGGACTGGCAAAAAAACCCCCCCAAAACGCTGTATTCCGTGGTGCAGGCCTGTGATACCAGCATTCCGGTGTCTGAGACAGGAGAATCACTGAGATTTCGAGGGCAGCCTGGGCTACATAACAAGACCCTGTTTCAAAAAAAGAAACAGAGAAGGAGAGAAAGAAAGGGAGGGAGGGAGGGAGGCAAACAAGGAGCGGATAGGCATACGTGGACTGTTAAATGCACAGTGGGGTAACTGCCCTCTTGCTAGGTCTTGATATTACCAGTTTTACTCCTGGAAGGCCCTGTGTGTTGCTTGTTTTGGAGTTTGGGGGGATGGAAGCCCGGCCCACACTTCCAGGCAAGCACCACGCCCAGCCCAAAGGCCTGGGAGGATTTACACTGCACCCCAACTGGGACACCTGGGGCCCTGCTTTATGAAACCAACTGCAAGTGTGGAGACTTCCATTTCAGTCCACCGCTCACTGTGTCACGGTGTCTAGGCCCAGTGAGACCCATCTTTTCTTTCTTTTGGTGGTGGTGCTGGGGAATGAACCCAGGGTACTCTCCCACTGAGCTACATCCCACCCTTGTAATGTTTTAATTAATTAATTAATTAATTTATTTATTTTTGGTACCGGGGATCAAACTTGGGACCTTGTGCTTGCAAGGCAGGCAGTGGAACCACTGAGCTAAATCCCCGGCCCCTGTAATGTTTTAGTTTGAGACAGAGTCTCGCTGAGGTGCCTAGGCAACTTGAACTGGAGATCGTCCTGCCTCAGTCTCTCCAAATGCTGGTATTACAGCACTGGCTTGTGTCTGATCTAAGGCACCGAGCAGGTTCTGTAACCAAGAGATCTAGAAAGGGCTGCAGTTGAGGTGAGGTGTCTCTCTTTTCCCTCTTTTTATATTGTTACTTCCCTAAGATTGTAGAGCGCACAGTGTCTAGATCCATCCAGCTCCAGCATGGAGCTGGGGCAGGGAGTTCCGTCAGTCGGTGCGTTTTAACTTTCTTTTTTTTTTTGGTACTGGGGATTGAATTCATGTCCTTTTGCTTGCGAGGCAGGCGGCAGAACCACTGAGCTAAATCTCTGGCCCCAATCGGTGCGTTTTGGAGCCCGTGTCACAGATGCAGGTGCCGATTGCCGTCCTTTGAAGTTTTTGTTCTGCAAATCCTCTCAACGTATACATTTTATTACGTGTTCTATACATCAGCACTTTCGAGGCTCCTGAGTCTGGGGACCCCGGGAAACAGCAGCAAGGGTTTCTGGGCTTTCAGGCTCCAGATCCACTGCCCAGCCCTCTGGGGCCTCTGGCAGGGCTCCCGAGAACTGTCCTCTCTCCATTCCCTCTTTTTTCTTTTCTTTACTGAGGATTGAGCCCAGGGCCTTCTCACTGAGCTGCATCTCCAGCCCCTTTTTCTTTTCTTTTTTTTGGGTACCGGGGACTGAACTCTGGTCCTTGCACTTGCACAGCAGGTGGCAAAACCACTGAGCTAAATCCCCGGCCTTCTCCAGCCCTTTTTAATTTGTATTTTGAGACAGGGTCTCTTTAAGCCACTGAGTTGCCCAGGCTGGACTTGAGCTTGTGACCCTTCTGCCTCAGCCTCCCAGAGTGCTGGGATGACAGGTGTGCGGTGCCACGCCCAGCTCCTCCTTTCCTCTTTTAGTGGACACTGGGCCTCTGGTCTCCATGGTGTGGCGGCTCCTGCCTGACGGGGTCTGGGGCAACAGGCATGAAACCACAGCCCCAGGCCTCGTATAGCGGGAAGGGATCGCCCCAACTAGAGGCAGGCAGACAACTCGGGACAGTTGCGGCCCCGGGCATGGCCTCGCCCCTGATAGGACACTGGCGTTGTGGGTGACAGCCATCTGGAGGCAGAGGCAGGCAGGGGCTCTGGATCTTACCTTGCAGGGGCAGAGCATTTGGCTCGGCCTGAGGAGCGCCCCTGGTGTCAAAGCCCCAGATATACAGAAAAGAAGATGACTTCTATGCCCTTTAGGTGCAGGCAGCAAGAATTATCTTTGTTCCTTTGTCCGAAATGATATTTCGCTATGTTGTGTGCTGCCTGGGCTGGCCCTGAACTCCTGGGCTCAGGGGACCCTCCTGCCTCAGCCTCTCAAGGAGCTCAGACCACAGTACCCTGCAGAAATTCTGCTTTTACTGCTCAGAACATTGCGGTACTCAGACATACGGCCGGCTGTCCGCCCATCATCCAGCTGCTGCTCTTCCTGCTGACCCACAAGTCTTGGGTGGACACATGGGTCCCTTCTCTCGCTTACAGATCCAGGAGAGAGATTCTTGGTCCCGAGGTAGAAGCATGGCCACTTCCCAAGCCAGGATTTAACACTGCTCCACCCTGCACCTTCCACTCTGAGAGCTGCTCTCCCTGTGTCCGGGGGAAGCCTCCTTGTCACTCACTCACCACAGTCACTGGGTCTTTTTCCATTATTTGAGGTGACTGTCGCTCCTTAGCCTGCCCTGGCCTTGGGCCTGCAATCCCCTGGCCCCCAAAGTCACTCATTCTTCCCCAAGCAGATCGCTACTCAGAGCATATTGACAGAAGCTGTGGGTCTCGGAATCCTGTGAGAGGCCCATGAGCCAATCCACCAGGAGTGCCATCGTATGACAGGACCAGGCTTCAGTCACAGACAAACCAGAAAGCGATGCTGTAATTACAATGGTGCCAATGTCACAACATGGGGGTTGAAACACTGTGACAAAATGTGTGAGTCACACGCTGTACACCATGGCCCGATGGCCCGGCATGGCGGGGTTACGTGCAGGTACAGGGCCTAATGCTGGATGATGCACTGTGATGTTCCCAACTCCTGCATTCACTGTGCGAGCCCTGCTGCATTCTTTTAGGGTGACTCCTTGGCAAAGTGTCCCTGGTGGCAGTGGCCTTGCATGTCCCACGTTTCTGGTTCTGGTTCTGGCTGTGGTTGATGGAGTCGTGCATGGGGATCTTTGGGTGGGGCTGTGTCTCCTCGGGGAACACTTCCTGGCCTGCCTAATCCCCATCCCTGCAAATGAACAACACCAAAACTCTAACACTTTTTGGACTTTTTTTTTGGTACTGGGGATCAAACTCGGAACCTTGTGCTTTTGAGGCCCTGGCCCCTGGACTTTTTTTCCTATGTATATATTATCTTTTTTTTTCCTTAAGTTTATTGGTACATTTTAGGTATACATTATGATCACATTCATCGTTGAGATTTTGGGGGCTTTGGGGCAGTATTGGGGATTGAACTCACCACATTTGTACTGAGTGACATCCCCAGTCCTTTTCAGTATTTTAAAAAATTTTAGACAGGGTCTCATACTCAGTTACCCAAGCTGGTCTGGAACTTGAGGTCCTCCTGCTTCAACCTCCTGAATGCTGGCATTATGGGCATGTGCCACCGTGCCCAGTTTAAATTTTTATTTTATTTGTTTGAGACAGGGTCTCATATGTAGTTCAGGAGCCCAGGCTGGTCTCGAACTTGTGATCCTCCTACCTCAGCCTCCTGAGTGCTGGGATTACAGGCGTGCTCCACTATACCTGACCAAACTTTATTTTTGAAATAAACTTTGCTTTTAGGATCTGTGTTAGATTACATGAAAATGGTGATGAAGTATAAAAAGTCCATATATACCCCACACCCAATTTCTTATTGTAATAGAATAGAATGGTGCAGTCCTTACAGTTAACGAACAACTATTGCCAGATGGGGTGGCTCAGGCCTACAATTCCAGCTACTTAGGAGGCTGAGGCAGGAGAATTGGGATTTTGAGGCCAACCTCCAATTCAGTGAGGCTGTCTGAAAAGAAAATTAGAAAGACAAGGAGAGGACTGGAATGTAGCTCAGCTTGAGCAGACCCTGGATCCAGTTCCCAGCACTGGGAGAACAAAGCCCCACTATTGATACATTATTATTATTATTATTATTATCATTATTATTATTACTGTTATTTTGAGATTGTGTCTCACTGTGTAGTTCAAGCTGGTTTTGAACTCACTATGCAGCCCAGGGTGCCCTTGAACTTGCAGCGATTCTCCTGCCTCAGCCTCTTGAGCGCTGGGATCATAGGCTGCACACCATACGTGGCTGATACGTTTTTACGAAGTCAAGCTCATCCTGTGTCGGGACGTCGTGGGTCCCCCGTGTCCCTCTGCTGTCCGGGACCCTCAGGACCGCGTCACAGGCGAGCATGTCTTTGCTGTCACTTTCAGGGCGGGCGAGGAGGGCAGGCTGCTCTGGGTCAGAGCTCTGCTGGGAGCCGACCGCAGGCCGCTGGGCACGCGCTGCACTGCACTGGGCCTGAGCTCCCACTCCACTGCCCGTCCCCGCCCTCCGGCCTCAGTTTCCCCTTCTGTAGATGAGAGTGTGGGGCCAGTGTCCTGGGTGACAGCCGGGGTGCTTTTCAGACCTATGACCCGCGGAGGGGCTGGGGGGCCCAGGGCGAAAGTTCCTTCTGGACCCGCGGTGGGAGGCCTGTCTTGTGTCACCGTCACTTCCCGATCAGTGCCCGGACGGACGGACGGACGGACGGCGGAGCTCTCCAGTCCCGACGCCGCGGCCTGGTGCGTCTCCTCGGGTGGCCGCTCCGCGTCGCAGTGGGCACGGGCAGAAGAGACGGCAGCCGGAGCTCCCTCGCCTCGAGTCCCGGCCACCCTTGTCCTCCCGCGGGTCCGGGCGGTTCCCAGATGCAAAGGGCGCGGTGGTGGGGAGCGGACGGCGGGCAGACTCGGGGATCGTGCGCGCGGCTCTGCAGCGGGGACCTCGGAGCTCCCGGGCCCCGCCCCCAGCCGCAGCCGCAGCCCCGCCCCCGAGTCCCCTCTCCAGCCCCACCTCCCGCCCCGCCCCCCACCAGACCCCGCCCCCTCGGACCCGGGCGTGCGCCCGCCGGCGCGGGCAGGTGCTGCGGGGCCGTCGCAGGTAGCTCGCGGCCGCAGCATGGGCAACAGCGCGGGGCGCAGCGACTTCGAGTGGGTCTACACGGACCAGCCGCACACGCAGCGGCGCAAGGAGATGCTGGGTGAGCGCGGGCGCGGCGGGGCCCCGGGGAATCCCTCAGGGTTTCGCCCGCTTTTTGCGGGGTCGTCCGACTTGCTCAGGTCGCGACCTGGCCCGGAGTCCCCGCCGCCCGCGAGCCCTCTCCCTCCGCCCTGAGCGGGGCCGGGCCGGGGCTCTCTAGCGCCCCGGATCGGGCGAGGCGCGCGGCTGCTTCTCCCGGACCTCGGCGGGAGGACGCGTGTGACTCCCGGGCAAACCCTCGCGTGCGTTGGTGACTTCGGCGCTTTCCTCTGGACCCCAACCGCTCCCCAACCTGCGTTCCGGGGGGCTGCGAAGGGCCCTAGCGACTTCTGGTCGCCGCTCCCCGCCCATCCCAGGAGCGGTCCCCTGTTCTGGGCTCCTCAGCTTGTTTCTGTCCCCTTCCTTGGCTGCCCCAGAGTCCCTGCCCGGGACTCACTCGCGAGCACCTGGCCGCAGCTGAGGGCCCCCTGGTCCGAGGGAGCTCAGCAGCCAAGGGGCGGGAGCCCTAGGGCTTTGGGACCCATCTGAGGTTGGAAGGGCTGGCGAGGAACCTGGGTCTCCAGGGTGCGGAGCAGGGTCTGTCCCCACACAGAAGCCGCAGCCCCTGGACGGGACCCACGCTTTCCAGAGACGCTGGCGGGAGGCTGGGAGAAGGCTGGAGAGGGTGCTGCTAGCTCGCTGGGCCTGCTCGCTCTTTCCTTGAGGGCTGTGGCTTCTCAGCCTCCGGTTCCTGAACTTGGAATGCACCCTCTCCCTCCCTCCCTGCTGCTCTCCGGCTCCCTCTGCTTGGGTCTCGTCCACCTCCAGACCACCCAGGAGCCTGGGTCCCTTCCTCTGGGCTTCCTCTCCGTGGCTCTGGTCCAGTGGGCTCTGCCTTGGCGCTGAGGTCCAGTTAGCAGCTGGGCCTCCGATCTCCTGGCAAGACCCCTGAGCTTGGGTGAGCAGGTGCCCAGATTGGAAGCTGAGCCTGGCCCCGTGGAGGGTTGACCCCTGGCCTTCCTTGCCGGGCTGATGGGCAGACCTGGTGCTCAGCCCAGGACTGCACGATGTCGGACAGGGGCATTTTGCAGGCCTGTAGGTTCTGAAAGCATCTGCTTTCCCGACCTTGAGCTGGTTCGGGCCTGGCATGAGTCCTCTGGATAATTGCACATTGGGCAGGAGAAGCAGCTTGCCCAGGGCCACAGAGCCATGTTGGGGAGAGGCGGCCTAGAACCACGAAGACAAGCTCCCCGGGCCAACAGATAATCAGTTAAGATCTAATCTCAAAGTCAAGTCCCAGGAAGTCTTGCAAACAGCTGGGTGCAGGTGCTATGAATGGGGCCAAAGTTCATCCTCAGCTCCTGCCTGCGGTGAGGGTACCTCGGGCACAGCGTTGTAAAAAAACAGGGTTCCATGGCAGCCCTAAAAGACCGAGACTCCCCAGCCAGGTGGTACCAGGGGGCATGGGTGGGGCTGGCAGCCCGGGCCTTTCAGATACCAAGCCTGGCGTGGCCAGCAGCACGACGCAGGCTTTGGTTTGTCTTTCAAAAACAAATGCCTTTGTACTTTTGTTTACCTTCCAGAAAATTATGAAAGCAGGGCTCATACAATTTTAAAAAATTCAAATACGGAAAACAAATGAGGAAAACCAGGAAGTATAACTCCTGGCCATGGTTGGATTCTTCATTTAGGAAAAGCCTGGGTGTGGCTTTCGGTGGCCAGTGGGAACATTGAGAAGTGACCGAGCTGGCCAACGCTATTAGGGCAGATGCCAGGCTCCAGACACAGGGTACAGGCCTCCCCCTCCCCCTGGGGGCTGCCCTCAGCTTCCTCTGCTGGGCTGACTTGGTTGCAGAAGGAAGAGAGGAGTGTCCCTGTCCTGCCCAGGGTGGCTCCCTTGGAGCTGCAGGGCTGCATAGTCAGAATAGGTCTCTGCATGTGGCCCCCGGCAGCACAGGTGGCTGGGCCCTGTGGGGGCCTCCGAGGCCCCTGTGCTGCCACCTGGCTTCTACTCTGCCCCTTGGGTGCCCCCAGGCCCTGGTCCTGCCTCTCCTTCCTCCTCACCCTTCACCCCCTTTGAAGCATGGTTTTCTGCTTGAATTCTGTTTGATTTAACTTATTGCAGTGCTGGGATCAATCCAGGGCCCCTGCATGGTAGGCAAGTGTCCCCTAGCACAGCTACTCCCCAGCCCCTCGGCCAGAATTTGTTCCCTTGACTCTGCGTCTCTCCAGTTCCTGTGCACACTTCAGCCCTACCCCGGATGTTCTTTCCAGAGAAATGCTCTCTCACTGTGTGCACACACACGCACACACGTGCACAGGTGGCATGCTACTACAGTGGACCATTGGCTTACAAATTCAATTTGTAAGTCTTTCACTGGTCATAAGGCCTGGTTCTAGCTCCAGTTGTTCAATGAAGGCTCGGGCTCCTCTACACAGCCTTCAGAGTCTCTCTCCTGTACCCAGGCAGATCTCAGTGTCCTCAGAGAGACACTGGCCCAGGATTTCTCAGTTAACCTCACACAGGAGAGGATGCTGTCATGTCCTTTCCCATGCTCTTTAAGGGTTAAATCTGTATCTGAGGCCGTCTGGAACCATGAGCAGCTGGCATTTGGGTCGTAACTCAAGACTTTGGTCATAAGTTAAAAGGAAAATTCCAGTTGTAACACATGTTGTTTGTATGTCAGGCCGGTCATAACTTGACGATCCATTGTTAATGTGAAAACATGGGTGCCTCTGGAAAAGTCCTGAGTGGTGACATTTAACGGCCAATTTCCTGCCCGAGGCAGAGCTGGGGAGAGGCACTCTGTTGTGTTCCTGACCAGAGCTGTCCGAGAGCCACACCCTGCCCAGTCACCCCCGACGCTGTGCCCCGTATCTTTGTTGTGCCTCCCTCCCTCACCTCTGAGCTGCTGTGCTGCACAAAGCCTTTGCTGTTTCTCACTAGAGCCCCCCAGATTCGGAGTTTGGTGAGGGTGAGGGTTCATTTTCTTATTCAGAGATGACGTCTCCTGGCTGTGCCCTCACGTGGCAGCGGGGAAGGGAGCCCCTCTTTTTTTTTTTTTGGTACCGGGGATCAAACTCAGGTCCTTGTGCTTGCTCAGCAGGCGGTGAAACCACTGAGCTAAATCCCCAGCCTGAGGGAGCCCCTCTTTTAAGACACTTATGGCGCTGAGGGTCCCCCTCTGTCCACCACCTCCCCTCGGCCCCAGCTCCTGATCCCATCACACTGGGATTAGAGCCCACCAAATTAATTCAGGGCACAGAAATGTACTCGGAGCAGCCTTCGTCTCATCTTTGTCCTAGGGCGTTTGAAACCCGTGTGGGTGTCAGGACCTGGGGAGGGAGGATGTCACCTGAGGCTGTCCAGCGGGTTTGGAGTGGGGCACAAGTGTCCCAGCAGCTGCCCCTGACCAGGCTGCCCTGGCCGTCCTGGTCTGTGCCTCCCTGAGATCAAGGCCACTGTCTCCCAGGTCCCCAGCACCTGCCTCCCTGCAGCTGTTGGTGTCCCTTTGTCCCCCTCTTTGTGGCCTCTGCTCCCCTGTGTGGCACCTGGCCATGCCTGGCCCACATTCCTCCTTCAAGTTCCAGCAGCTTTATGAGGTGAAGTGAATAGCTGTGCAGCCCTTTCCTCCTAAGGGCTTGTCCAGTGCTCTTTAGGAAGTGATACAACCCAGTTTTAGGGTGTTTCTCTCACCCTCAACAGCCCCTAAGACCTCAGGCCATGTCCACCCGCTGTCCAGAGTCCTTCAGTGGGGACGTCTCAGCTCCTGTGCCCTCTCTTGACCCTAGAAGCTGGGACACACTGTGTGCCAGGCAGAAGCTGCAGCCCCCGCCCCAGGCTGGGCCCTGGTGTCTCTCCCTGATACCTGCATCCTCACAAACCTTTGGCTTATATTTGTCACCACTGGGATGCAAAGCAGGTTTAGTGAGTGATTGCTGAGGAGGCCAATGTCCACATTTCCTCCCTGGATCTGGGTCCGCTCTGCTCCTAATGCACTGGCTGGACAGAGCTCGGAACAGAGGGGGAAGCCGGGCGCCCATGACCTTTGGCCAGAGCAGGAGGAAAGCCTTAGAAGCAGGAAGCCACTGCCACTGAGTTCACCTGAACAGAAACCAACGAGAGAACATCAATGAAGCCACACCTGTGAGCCAGTGGGTTTCACGGAGACAATGTGATCATCTAACAATGACAGAGCACAGCACCAGGGACCTTTCCCAAGATACAATATATCTAAGCCATAAACAATGATTACATAAATACAAAAGAATGGAAAGAATCCCTCCATACTATTGGAGCAGAGCAGAATGAAGCTGGGAATCAGCAAAAGAAGCCAGAGAAACTATGCAAACACAAAGACATTAAATCATACATTATCGGATAATCAGGAGGTCACAGAAGAAATCAAGGAAGAAATTAAAAATTCTCTAGAATCCATGTCAGTGGAAGCAAAGACTATGGGACATGAAGACAGCAGTTCTAAGAATAGAGCAGCCCTAATAAATAACCTAAAGGTGCATCTCAAAGCCCTAGAAAGACAAGAACAATCCAAATCTGAAACCAATAGAAGGAAAGAGATTTTAGCGATCAGAGCAGAAATTAATGAACTCAAGAGTAAAACAATAATACAAAGGATCAACGGATCAAAGAGTGAGTTCTTTGAAAGGCCAGGAAGGAGACCTGGAGATGGGAAGATGGGAGAAAGGAGAGGGGAAGGGGAAGTAAACAGAACCAAGATACACTACTATGTGAGCTGGTGTGATGGTGCACACCTCTAATCCCAGCACTTGGGAGGCTGAGACAAGAGGATCCCCACAAGTTTATGGCCAGCCTGGGCTACACAGTAAGCTCAAGGCCGGCCTCAACTATATAGCAAGTGCTTTTCTCAAAAAAATATGTATGTGCCAGTTTCCCCACAATGAATGTATTTACTACGTATCACAAACATACACTACTTTAAAAAATTGCAAAAAAGAAAGATGAAGCCTTTTTAAGGGAGGCAGAGAGGGCAAGTGATTCAA